TCTGCGTTCCCTTTTAGCTTTCATTAGGTATCTTTATGACAGTTATTTTAAGTTCTTTGTCAGACAGCTCATGGATCTGCATTTTGTTAGGCTCAATTTCTAGAAGTTCATATTTGGCCATTTGAAGGGCTATGGTTCTCCGTCCTTTGTATGCCTGGTAAAATGTTTTGCTGGGATTTTGGCATTCAAAAAAGGCAGCAGCTCTCCAGTCTTTGTGTGCTGGCTCTGTGCAGAGGTGGCCCTTCACCGCCAGCTGGCTGTGGCTCCCAGGGCCTCTCAAGCTTTGTCCTATTTCTTTTTTTTTTTTTTTGAGACAGAGTCTCGCTTTGTTGCCCAGGCTAGAGTGAGTGCTGTGGTGCTAGCCTAGCTCACAGCAACCTCAAACTCCTGGGCTCAAGTGATCCTCCTGTCTCAGCCTCCTGAGTAGCTGGGACCACAGGCATGCACCACCATGCCCGGCTAATTTTTTTCTATATATTTTTAGTTGGCCAATTAATTTGTTTCTGTTTTAGTTTTTAGTAGAGATGGGGTGTCGCTCTTGCTCAGGCTGGTCACGAACTCCTGACCTTGAGCAATCTGCCTGCCTCCCCTCCCAGAGTGCCGCCCGGCCAACAGTGTCTTGTACAGAGCAGAAATTTTTAGTTTTAGTGAAGTCCAGCGTATCAGTTTTTCCTTTCACGGATTGTGCCATTGGTATCAAATCTGAAAAGTCATCACCAAACCCAAGGCCATCTAGATTTTCTACTATGTTATCTTCTCGGAGTTTTATAGGATTGCATTTTACATTTAGATGTAGTGATCCATTTTGATTTAATGTTGGTGAAGGGTTTATGCTCTGTGTCTAGATAGAGTTCTTTTTACATGTGTATGTCCTTTTGTTCTAGAACAATACCACATTGTCTTGATCACTCTAGCTTTGTAGTAAGTCTTGAAGTCAGGTAATGTTACTCCTCCAACATCATTCTTTTCCTTCAATACTGTGTTTGCTATCCTGGATCTTTAGCCTCTCCATATAAACTTCGGGATCAGTTTGTCAATATTAACAAAATAACTTCCTGGAATGTTGATTGGGATTGTGTTGAATCTCTGCATCCAGTTGAGCAGAACTGACATCTTGACAATATCGAGTCTTCCTGTTCATGAACGTGGAATCTCTCTCCACTTATGTAGCTCTTTGATTTCTTTCATCAGAGTTTTATAGTTTTCCTTACACAGATCTTGTACATATTTTGTTATATTTATACTTAAGTATTCCAGTTTCTTGGATTTTAATATAAATGGAATTATGTTTTCAATATCAAATTCTACTGTTTGTTGCCTATCACAATTGATTTTTGACCAAGGTACAAAAGCAATTCAGGGGAGAAAGAATAGTCTCTTCAAGAAATGCCAAAGGAATAAGCGTGTCCAAACAGACCAGAGCGTGCACTCCGTGTGCAGTCTGCTGCGTGTCAGTTTCACCTCTGTAACGCAGAGGAAGAAGTCGCACTAGGCGTTAGAAAATGCTGGGAGATAAATGACACAAAGTGTCTCGACTCAGCAACAGAAAGAGAAGGACAGAACACATACGTACCTATTGGGAAGGAAACAACGGAGTTAAGTGCAGAAATGAATGTGCAAAATGAATGAATTTTGAAAGCAACAAAAATACGACAGTGAGTAGTAACAAAGCCCAAAGTAAGTTCCTCAAAAAGGCGGGAAAGATCAGCACAGCTCTGACAAGTTCGATCCAGGTAGATGGTGAGAAAAGGTACCACCGAGATGTACCAGGGTGTTCTCGGGGCCCGGCAGGGATGGAAAATGCCACTGAGAGGCGGTGCCGTGGAGAATGACGGACAACTTCGTTACTGACACGTTTTAAAACTGAGTGAACTAGACCGTTTTCTAGGAAAGTGCAGATTCCTGAAAGTGACTCAAGCATGTGCAGAAGATTGGAATGGAGCTATACCCATTAAGGAAATTAAACAGTCTCTCTCTCACACTGCCCCAGGGAAGACACTAATTTTAAGAAGATAAAGGAAAGGAGAGCCCGTGGAGATGGGGGAAGGATGATAATCCCCATTTTATATAATCTTTTCCAGAGATTGGAGAAATAGGGAAAGAATCCGCAGCTCGTTTTGTGGGATTGCTACAACCTTCACCCCCAAACTGGGGAGACAAAATGATGAGCCGTCCTCAGCTACAAAAACATACGTTTACACACTGGCATTACCTTCAGAAGTTTGGCAAGCCAGATCTGATTGTGTATTTTTAAAAGCTTGAACAGTAACGTCAACGTAATTTTAGTCGGGCTCTCATCATTTTTTCACAGTACTGAAACTCTAGTCCCGGCACTCACGGGGGACAGAGAAGATGCGAAACCGGGCTGGGACGGAGTCCTGGCAGGGCGGCGGCGGCTCGTGAGGTGGGACCAGGGAGGCCTGTGGGGGCAAGGCGTGGTGCTCACGGTCCAGTCGGCTGTGTTTAGGAGGAAGCATGAACCAGACGGAAGTTTATTTCTCTTGCGTGGAAAATTAAGTCCAAAACTAGGCAGTGCAGAGATGCTCTGGTGGCCCGTGGTCACGTGGGGCCGGGTTCCTTGGGTGGGAGGGAGGCGCTGTGCTGGAGGTGACCCGGCGTCTGGCTGGCTGGCCGGCAGCGGGCCACGCCGCTTCCCGCCAGGCCCCTGCAGAGCTGCGAGCGCCAGAACTCTCTCACCGAGCATGTTCAGAGTTAATGATGCCTCACAAACGCAGGCTCTGCAGGGTCTCCGCGCTAGAGTTTGTCCGCAGAGACTGAATGCAGTATAAGGAGAGTTTAGACCCATAGTCTTCTGATCTGCAGAAGGAAGGGGCCTGTGGGTTTTGTAAGTGTTGAATCATCTCGCGCTTTCTCTGTGAGTGATGGAAACCTGTGTTTTCCTTTCCTTTTTGGAAGGTGGACGGACTGTGTTGTAGGAACTGGAGGATTTGTCCAGTCAACACGTGTTTATCCATCTCTTCCCCGAGGAGCTCACACGCTGGTTGGGGGGGGGCAGAAAGCACAGAGCAGCCCCTAAGTAATGCGGGAAGTGAGGCAGGGAGGGGATTGGAGGCTCAGGTGGGGATGAGGGGAGGCCTCGCTGGGGATGTCTGCACAGAGGCCTGCAGGGGGAAGAGGGGTGTCTGGCACAATGGGGTGGCCAGGGGCACCAGGAGGAGGCTGGAGCTGGGGAGGGTGCCAGGCACAGGCAGGGTCTGTTCTGAAAGCTGATGCCCTGGGTTGGCCGACCACTGGGATGGGGAGATGGGCAGTGACCTCAGGGGACACCAGGGCATCCACCCAGGCCACTCTTTGCCCTGGTCCTGCGTTCCAAATGTGGCCGTGGGCAAACTCCCCAGCTCCCCTCCCTTACTCCTCCCCAGACCCGCCCTCTGTACTCCTCTGCCCCCACCAAGGCACCGGCCAGGCAGGCCCCTGCTGAGCCCCGACCTCTGGTCTGCTCCCCCATTCCTCCCCCTGCCCTGCCCCCACACCGCCACAGCCCCCCTTCCTCCTCTGCCCCACCCTCCTTCATCTCTTCTGTCCCCTCCCCTGCCACCTTCTCTGCCCTATCCCTGTCCCCTGCCCCTCTGCCCTCTCTGCCAGCCCCTCCCCTGCTCCCACTCTTCCCCAACCCCCCACTCCCCACGGTGCCCCCTGCCCAGTGCCTTCCTCCCTCAGCCTCACAGCCTCCCTCCTCTAGGCTGAGCTTGGGGTCACCCCAAGGCATACTCCCTAAATTTGGCAGTCCCTATTCTTAGCGGAACCCCGTGCTTCGGTTTATGGTTGTTTATTCATTTGCCTTTTCATTGATTTATTGCTTAGCTCCCAGCTTGCTCCCCACCCCCACCACATAGACCCAGCAAAGTGGAGACCCCCCCAGGAGCTTGGGACATGGTGGCCCCGGGCGGGCGGGGGTGGGTCCTCTGGCCTGTGGACAGCAGAGGCCAGGTGTGTGGCAGGGTCACTGGTGTCCAGCGCCCTCGTCACCTTTCACCCTCTGCTGGCAGGAGGGCAGGAACTCACACCCCCAGGGGCAGGCTGACCCCCAGGGGCTCCCCCGTGCTGAGCTGAGCCTTGATTCTGAGGTTCAGTGAAGTGTTTGAAAGGCTCCTGCTGGTGCTGTCAGTTTTTTATAAACTCAGTACCTGCCTCCTCCCACACAGGGGGTCGTTCCAAGACCCAGGGAATCCTTCCTTACATACGATGCACCAGCCCCTATGTAAACGCTATATTTTCTGAACACACACACACACACCTGTGATAAAGCTCAATGTATAAATTAGGTGCAGCAGGAAATTAGCAATGATAACTAACAGCAGAGTAGCACAGTCGTGACACCGTGCCGGCATCGCTCCCCTGGGGTCTGGGCTGTCACTGAGTGACATGAGGGTGCCTGGCGCACAAGCCCTGCAATACAGGGACAGGTGAGCTGGTCACCAGGACAGCTCCCAAGTGACTGACCCGGATGCGGCAGAGACGCACATCCAGGCGGGACAGCGAGAGGTGCCGTCCCTGCTCAGGAAGACGGTGTGAGATGTTAAGCCTATGAACTATTTACTTCTGGAATTTTCCATGCAGTATTTTCAGGCCATCGTAGTTGACTGCGCATAGCTGAAACCTCTGGACGTGAAGCCTCTCGGGGTGGGGATCGCCGTGATAAAACGGGGACGCACTTTTCTCTCGCAGGAAGCATTCTCGGCTCGTGGATGCCTACCAGAACTCCTCTCCGGCAACGTGTCATCGTGGGAAAACGGTGGCGAAAAGTCACTTCACAGCTTAAGATAACTTTTAAAGACATTTTTCTCTTAAATATTCTAAATGGCTAAATCGGTTTGTCGTTTTCCATTGCGGTCTTGTTTTAGTTCGTTGGAATCTCTGCAGAATTCCCAGCGCACCCGACTGGCGGCGCGGCTTTGGGGCCACGCTGCCTGGCGTGGCGTGGCGTTGCGTGGCGTCCAGCAGGCGCCCCCACTGAGACGTGTCTCTTGTCCCCGCAGCTGGAACGTGGTGGGCGTGCAGGGCTCGCTGCTCAGCATCTTCGTGGAGCCCATCTACTTCTCCAGCATCATCCTGGGCAGCCTGTACCACGGCGACCACCTGTCCCGGGCCATGTACCAGCGCATCTCCAACATCGAGGACCTGCCGCCCCTCTACACCCTCAACAAGCCTCTGCTCAGCGGCAAGTATCTCCCCAGCGCGGCTCTGCGGTCTCTTTCCGCCCCCTTGACTTTGCAGCATCGAGTCTCTCGCTCAAAGGAACGCCGCCTGAGCTGCTGCGGCAGTGGCAGCCAGACCCAGGTGCTATTTCTGGGCCACCCAGGCTTGTCCCTGGGGCCTTTTCTGTGTGTCCTCTGTGGGAGCAATCTGTCCTGCCGGCTGCAAACCTGCCCTTCACAGAGACATTGCAGCAGGACGTGGCACCCGTGTGCCGTCCTCTCGGTCCCCTGCCACCGCAGCCTGTCTCCATGGCAGGGATGCGCAGGCGCCGTGGGAATCAGGTCAGCGTCAGTTTTCCCCACAGACCTGGGGTTTCGGCTCAGAGAGTCCACTCGCCCGGGTGTCCTCATGCCATGAGCTGCCTGGGCTGGCTCTCAGGAGGCGGTGACGGCTGTAACCCAGGTGCCAGTGACAGGCGGGTGACGGCTCCGTGGTGTCCGCACCCACCCTTGATGCTCTTCATTACTGGGTTTTGTTTTGTTTTTTTCTTTTTTTAGAGTTTCAGTGGCTAGCAGTAAAGTGAACAGGAGCTTTTGAACTCAAGTGTCCTAACTTCTAAGCTCAGCCTTATTTAAAAGGACACAGTTAAGGTATTTTTATCCTTTTAAACATATTATTTTACTTACTTTTTTTTTAAGCTTGAAACTAAAACCATAATCTCGACTAAAACATGTTTCTCTGGCGTGTGTGTGTATGTGCTGCCCTGGTCTCTAGTGCTTGGCTACTAGCGCGTCTCTAATTTGAGAGTAGCGGTGTGAGCAGCGTGTGAAAGCATGTGTGTGGGAGCGTGGCCGGGAGGCGGGGCGGGGCCGGGTTTCACAGCCCCCACCTGAGCCGAGGTTGTCCTAGAGACACAGACAGACCGAGAGACACGACCGTGGGTAAGTTGGAAATCGTAGATCGATGCCTTTTGAAGTGTTTCGTTGTGTGTCGGTGCACGACTTTCTCCAGAGTCAGAACATAGTCACACCTCTCTGTTCTCTGTGCTCTTCACTTGAGGGGAGGGGCTCTGCCTGCAGCCGCCACTTGTCTTCCTGCGCGTGGACGCCCGGGGGATGTGGGCGCCGCGGCGACGCTGGTGGCGGTTGTGGGCCGGGGCTTTGCTGAGGCCCCGCTGGAGCAGCGTCAAGTCCAGAACTGAAATCTGGGAAGACAGGATCATTGTTTGCTGAAGAAATTTTCTAAGATACTGGTTTGCTGAAGAAATTTTCTAAGATACTGGAAGTCAAGAGCTCATTTATAAAAGTCTAATGTGTTTTATCACGCCCTGTTTATATGAAGTGCGTATGTAGCTATAAAAAGACACTGAAATAGTGCCTGTGAGGTAGAGACTTCAAAGTTACTGACATATTATACATAGATGTATTTTTAAATATGAAATATATGACAAAATAGAGTCTCCTCTTCCTCTCCTCCCCAATATCATTTCTAATCCTAAAGCCTAAAGCACATAACCAAGTCCATGCCCTGGGCCTGCCTGACCGGCGCAGAGAGCCAGGGCAGAGCTGTGAGGCTGCACCTGCCTCAGCACTGCCTCACGGGCAGCTTATGTGCCTCAGTTTCCTCATATGCCCAGAGGCAAGGATGGACCAGATGCCTGTGTGGTCCTTCTGGACTGGTCCTTTAAAAAAAAAGCGGCACCTCAATCTTTAGGGAGCAGAGTGTTACTGGAATGCTGGGCCAAGAAACAATGTCACTCTAGGGCCAAAGGCAATTTCAAAATGCAAACTATTTGAAATATTTTATTTTGCATAAGCGCTTCTTGATTTTGGAAACAATGGTGTTTTGTTGTTGTTTTCCTTGAAGAGAGTTCAGATCAGCAAAGCAGGTAGCTTCAAAGAAGACACCTTTAAGCGAGGTCCTTCCTGGAAGGGAGCCAGCAGGGGCAGTGGCAGGGGGAGAGAGGTGCTTTGCTCCGGCTGAATGAGCAAAGTTAGAGCGGCTGGAGTGAGGTCAAAGCAGATGGTGCAGCAGCCGTGACTGCAGACGGAGGGAACCTAGAGAGAGAAATGCGAAGGGGAGACTGTTGATGTCTGGGTCGCTTTTTTAAAACAAAGCAAAGCCTTCAGCACTTTCTCAGAACTTAGTCTTACATTTGACAAGTGACCTGAACAGCAGATCGGCCGGGACATTCTGGTGTCTCCTGTTGTCCTCTTGTTGGTGTGCACGCTGTGCGGGTCTGTGTATCTGCCACGGTTGACATGGTGTCTGCTGTGCGTGTCACCCCCGGCTTTGTCATAGAGATCATCCTCGTGCTAGAGAGAGAGAGAGTGGCCGGAGCCACGTGAATTGTCGTGTCCTCAGGGAGGAGCGAAATGGACATAAACAAGCACAGGCCCGACCGGCGCTAAAGCACATTCCCCGAAACTAGAGCAAGCCAAGCAGAGACCCAGGGGTGGCTATTAATAGCCCTCCAGTGTTGGGCTCGCTCTTTTTTTTAATGATGTCAAGGTTAAAAGAAAAGAATTTAATCTTCATTTCAGCCTAAACACCACATTTGCACTGTGCGTGAGAGCTTGGCGGAAAGCTGCGCAGTCTGCGCCTTCACTGTGGTACTCACGCGTGGCTCTTCCTGCCCTGGGGGTGGCGGCCTCTCGTGCTTCCTCGGTTCCACTCGAGTCTCCCGCCCGCACCCTGAGGACCGCTCCACTTCTGGTCTCGCCCGTCGGCCCTCAGGACGGCTGCACTTCCGGTCTCGCCCGTGGGCCCTCAGGACGGCTCCACTTCCGGTCTCACCCGTCGGCCCTCAGGACGGCTGCACTTCCGGTCTCGCCCGTGGGCCCTCAGGACGGCTCCACTTCTGGTCTCACCCGTCGGCCCTCAGGACGGCTGCACTTCCGGTCTCGCCCGTGGGCCCTCAGGACGGCTCCACTTCCGGTCTCGCCCGTGGGCTCTGAGTCCGAGCCCCTCGCTGACTGGTCACTCCAGGGCTCCCGCTAGAATGCAATGAGACAGACAAGTGGGCGTAGCCGTCCCCGTAGGGTGGCTCCGGGGGCCCTGGGGACAGACAGGCTGCGCTGGGGCCACTGGGGGAGCCTCCTGTGGTGCCGGGTGTGACGCCGACCCCGTCAGTCACGAAGCGGCGGCCTGGGTATGCTGGGGCAGCGCCCTGACAGTGGGCGTGAGGGTGGCGTCTCCGGAGGAAGTGCAGGGGTCCGCGGGGTGAGCCGCAGGCAGGGCTGGGGCAGAAAGGGGGCCCTGCTGGAGCAGCATGGAGACCGTGACGGGCGGGAAGAGCTGACGTCATGTCTAGCGCAGCGAAGCATGGCGGCTTGTTGAGGTCGTGGCCTTGAGAGGAGAACCAGCCTGAATGGGAGAGTGAGTGTGAGAGTGTATGAGTGTGAGTGTGTGTATGAGTGTGTATGTGAGTGTGAGAGTGTGTGAGTGTCAGAGTGTATGAGTGTGAGTGTGTGTATGACTGTGTATGTGAGTGTGAGTGTGGGGGAGTGTGTGTGGGGGAGTGTGTGCATGTGTGAGAGTGAGTGCATGCATGTGTGTGAGTGTGTGTGGGGGAGTGTAGGGGAGTCTTTGTGTGAGTGTGAGAGAGTGCATGTGTGAGAGTGAGTGTGAGTGCATGCATGTGTGTGTGAGTACATGCAGGTATGCGTGGGTGCAGGCATGTGTGAGTATATGTGTGTGTGAGTGGGAGTGTGTGAGAGTGTGAGTGAGTGTGCATGTGAGTGGCCAGGTAAGAGCACACGTGGAGCTGGGGGACAGGGGTTACGGGGGGCGGTGGTCATTTTCCTCCTTGCCCGGGCGCTGGGGACCGGGAGTGCTGTGGCCTGTCTATGCTAGAACAGAAAAGCCACGCGTGGGATGGGTGGGGCCGTATCTGCTGCGGTGTGCAAAGTTGTTCTTATTCTCATCGGATAAATTTTCCGTCTGTTATACTTCCATACTATTTTTTTCTTCCCTTGCTTTTGCTGGATCGATTAAATAGTCTTTTTCCCTTTCTTCCCCCAGTGGTTTGGTAGCACTAAATTTTATTTCCATTCTATATCCACTGTTTACTTTTATTTTTAAAAACAAACATATTTAAACCACTTAAACATGTTTTTGTTTTGTTTTGTTTTGTTTTTGCATCAAGAATTAGTGAGTATTCATGAAGATCCAAACCTGAGAAAAACTGAAATTTGGGCTCATCTTTGCTCCCTGCTCCTCCCACCCTCGTCCTGCTGGAAGCTAGGACGTTGTGGCGCTTCCTCTCTCGGCCCCGCGTTTCACGGTCCGCGGCCGGCCGCGCATCAGCCACTGTCTGGGCTGAATGCAAGGGCCGCTGGCTTCTCTAAGCGCTGCGCTCCCTGTCCGATGCCCGTTTAATTCCACATTCGGATTTATTTTTCATGTTGCTGGAATGCATCCTTAACATGAGGGCAGAGCAATTTGCTGTTTGTTTCTGTTTTGTTTTTGGAAGAAATGCCTGCGTGTGGCACTCTGGGTCTGACTTGACCCTCAACCACACACGGGACATTGACTGCAGCCCACACAGCTGGGCCCCCTCTGCTGCCACCAGTCGTCACAGAGCCAGTGTGACTTTCTCTCCTTTGTAGGCACCCCTCTTTGTTTTCTCTCTGGCCGCATTCGATTGATCTCTTTCCCTTAAAATTCAGAAATTTTGACATTAAGCCTTGCTGTGTGGCTGGGTTTTCATCTGTTCCTGCTCACTACTCTGATCGTTGAATCTTTGGTTCAGGGAAATTTTCTTTAGTTTTAGCTCTCATTGCTGCATTTTCCCCGTCCTCTGTTGGCTCTGACAGTTCTGCTGTGCGGAGCTCGAGGGCCAGGTCCCTTCTGTTGCACAGTGTGCTTGCCGCCCTCACGGACTTCAGACAGGACACTGCTGGCTCCCGCCCGGCCATGCCCGGCGTCCTATGGGGCGCCCATGGCCAGCCTGCCCTCCCTGTGTTGCCTTTGCCCCCACACCCTTTGCCCCCATGCCCTGTTTGGCCTTGGTCTAGGGGTGACCCCAGCAGGCCTCCCCGTCTCTGTTAGGGTTCCAGTCTCCTGTGTCCAGGCAGAACACGTTTCTAGTGCCTGGAACTATCTAGAACAGAGTTTCCTGGAAGGAGTCTAGCTCCCCCTAGCTGGACACTGTCACCGTGGATGTGGTGACAGAGCATCTGCTAGAGGGGCCAACCCCACCAACCTTGAGCGTCTTCTAAAAACTCAAGAAGGGGACGCAGTTTTCGGTTGACTTGATTAAGTTCTGTGCGTAGAGAATTACCTGTTTTATTGATGACACCTTTGAAGAGCTTTCAAAACAGCGATTGCTGTACTTCACTGAACGGTGTCTTCAGAAGGTGTCCTGGGGCACGTGTGTGTTCATCGAGTCACGAGCCAGGTCCTTCACCCCGTCCTGGCGTCCACACTCGGCCCTGTGAGCAGGTCTTCCTCACCCCTTCGTAGCTGACAGGCACAGCCAGTGTGGGATCGCAGCCTTGCTCCTCTGCTCTGTAGCACAGGAGAGCTGGGCCAGGCCCGCCCCAGACAGCAGGGGGTGGGGGTGCAGGTGTGTGTGCCCCTCCCCAGGAGCAGCAAGGTCACTGCACTGTGCCCAGCTCAGCCCCGTGCCACCTGCTCTTCCCCGAGTGCTGTGTCCACAGTCAGGACTGCCTGCTCTTGCAGCTCCCTGGGCAGTTGTGTGAAGAGGACCGACCTGGCCTGCAGAGCCTGGGTGACATCCCACTGTGCCCCTGCAGGCCTGGTCCCAGCTGACTATGTCCCTCTAGAGCAGGGGTCCTCAAACTTTTTAAACAGGAGGCCAGTTCACTGTCCCTCAGACTGTTGGAGAGTGCTCACTGTGAGCCCGGGACAAGTCGGCTGCTAAGCAGGACAGGCAGTGGTGGCAAAAACACCCGGCAGGCCAGATAAATGTGCTAGGCAGGTTGCATGTGGCCCGGGAGCCATAGTTTGAGGACGCCTGCTCTAGAGCACATGTCTCAGCTCCCTCCCACAGCCGGTGCATTAAAACCCTGGGGTCTCCTCTAAGAAAGAAAGATCAGGTGGCCAGAGGTTCTCCGTGCAAATCTTGGCACCTCCGTGGGATCAGTGGACAGCCGGGACGAGGCCGGGGAGTGAGGCCAGCCCTGGGGAGGGAGTGGGCTCGGGACGGGCAGGACATGCCCGACCGTCTTGCTCTGCAGACCCTCGTGCAGTGCCATCGGTTGCGTTTACTTCTCCGTCAGCTCACGCGTTGCCTTTTTTAAAGAAAATGCAAACCAAAGTCAAAGGTGCTCTGCTCCCGGCTTCAGTGGCAGGGTGGCTGTGGCCCCAGGGACGCAGCCCCCCCCCCCCGCGCTCGCGTTGGCCGCTGTGTGCCGTCCGCTCCGTGACGCGCTGTGTGGTTTTCCTCACACTTTCTCTCCTGGTCCTCGCTGCTGCCTGTTTGCGGAACAGAAGCCACCTTGGGTCAAACTTGATCCTCTAATTAATGACTAACAGTTTGTACAGTGTGAACCCATAAGAGCCGTGAAATACCCGGCATTGATCATTATGTATAGAATCCGTTTCTGATCAGCCTGCTAGGAACCTACTGGAAAACACCTCCCAGGCAGAAATAAGCAGGAGTGCCGATGTTGGCTCTTCCAGGTTTCCAGTGTGCCGGTTTTCGGGCCAGTGCACAGCCTGTTTTATAGCTCTGAGAGTTCTGATCCAGCCGCGTAACCCACGGCGCCGAGGGACCCATCGCCAGCCGTGCTGCTGCTGTTGCATTCTCCGTCTCTGCGCCGCGGCCTGCGACCAACTCATCACCTACTTCTCGCTCCGCAGCCCCGGAAAGGCGAGCTGCTCCCCCGTGTCAGTCCCTGCGATGCCGGGGGCCCCAGGGACTCGTAGAGACACTCGTGACCACGTAGGGGCCGTTCTGCCCCAGAAAAGGCGTAGGGTAGTGCTGGGACCTCGGCCAGCTGTTTGCTTTTTGCCTTGTTTACTCCATTTTTGCTAAAGGTGGCCTTTATTCAGCTTAAAATATATATATATTTTAAATTGTACTGTCAGGGTCTTATATTTTTAGCTATTTCACTGACTGTTTAGTTTTAGTGCAAAATGCTGTGATTTTAAGGTTTGAGCATCATTGCAACAGTAATCCTTTATTTTGATTTTGTTGTGGAGAAGCGGTGGGATTGCAAAGGAAGGTGACGTAACGTGAGCCTCAGCCCTTTGTTCGAGACAAATCAGTTCCGTTGTTGTGGCTGGAGGTTCCCCACCCGCCGAGCCTAGGTGGGCACCCCCACCACCGACCCCTGACTCTAAGTGACAGGTGTGGCCTCGCGCCCTCCTGGGCCTGCGGGAACCTGGCACGCGCTGGGGGGACAGAGACGTGCTGTGCAGCCACCAGACACCCCAGGACCATCGCAGAACCGTGTCCAGGGGGAACCCGGGGCGTGTGGCAAGCAATGTCCCGGCAGCAGTCAGTGAAGTGAGGGGTCGGCGAGCGCAGGGACACCCTAGCCTCCAGCAGCGTGCCCCGTGACCCTACCACGGAGGGAGAGGCCGCCACTTCCCCTGTGCGTGCTGGCCTGGCACCGTGCGTGGTCGGGGCCACCTGGCAGAGCAACGCCAGGGAGGGCTGTGCTGCCCCTCCCTGGCCGGAGGACGTGGCCGTGGCTGGGTGTCCCCTCCATGCTCGCCCCGAGTTAGGAACACGTCAGGAGGTCGGAGGAGCAAGCAGAAGGAATACGAGTGGATGGCTGTGGTCACACTCCGGAGGAGAGTGACAGCGCGGAGCAGAAAGCTGCGTGTG